TTTCCCCAAAAAGTTGCACGTTAAATGTTAAATGTTGAAACGCTGAATCGGAGATCCATCAACCATCCTTCCCCACACGGACCCAGAACCAGAACCAGAACCAGACCAGAACCCGATAGAGGCCCACCACTTCCTGGCATTACAAATGGCTGAGACTTGGCTGGCTGTCAGTTTGGGTTTCAGTTCGTGTTGTTCTGTTCTGTTCTGTTCAGTTCTGTTCAGTTCTCTGTGCTGTGACTTTTTAACCTAATGAATAATAAATTGGGCCAATTGTCACGCAAAACAAAACAATGCCGCGGAATGGATGGATAAGGGTTTTCTTATGCCCAGAGACGATGCGATGTCAGGTCTGTGAAGTTGCCATTTCCAAAATGTAGACACATTCTCCATTCCTTCGCTCGCTCTTCGAGCTGTTTGCTCTTTTGCTCCTTTGCTCCTTTGCTGTTTTGCTGTTTTTGTTTATTTCGGTGGCAGTGTCGCCTTCAATAGATGTTGGCATTTGTTACAAAACTTGCAATCACCTGGGGAAATCGTGGCAGGCAGGCATCTTGCAACGATTAGCACTTGCCCCCCACGCCCCCACGCCCACATACCCACATATACTCCCATTCAGTGCTTCCAGTTTTTGGTGGGCGCCGGCGCCCACTTGCATTTGTTCTGCCACATCCACGAGTCAGAAAGTAATTAGCATATTGAAATGTAGCGTAGGCTTCCTCCAGTACATCCTCATCAATAATGCACCACGAAAACTTGATGCATTTCTGTTGCGGATTTTAAGGTTGCTGTTGCAGCTATTTCTGCATTTACACTTCTTTGCAACAGCAGCATTCTTCCCTTGCCCGTGCCCGCCCCCGCCCCCGTTCCCGCTCCCGTGCTCGTCCCCGTGTCGCTCTAAATATTTAATCGGAAAAATCTTTAGGCCGCGAAAGGGGTTGGCATGGACGTCCGTTCGACTCTGCTCGTACTATGGCCTCCTCCTAAAAGCGTGTCAACAGCCTGTCAATCACAATTTGCCAAATAAAATGTAAGTGTCAGCCTATGGAAATTTAGTTTGCAAATGTGCTGATTGTGTTTTAGTTGCGGTTGTTCCAGAGTAATTGACGTGCGGTGTGGTTTAAGGGTTTTAATGTCCGCAGTATCCTCTTAGGATTACCCATCTTTCACTTGCATTTCTTGAATATTTTCGCTAAAGTAAATCACAAACGCCACACTATTTCCCCGCTTCATATTCGTACAAATTTGCCTGGTATTCCCAATCCTATTTCCATTTCCTGTTTTCGGTTTAAACCATATAAACATCTGATTTTTCTGATCTGATATATTTTGTGGCTATCGAGTGGATTCCATTTACCATAAGAAGTACATGAAGATAATTCTACCAAGGAATGTACTGATCCCTTATTCGTAGGTACTTTTATATCCTTGCAATCAGTGCCAATCAGTGTGAGTCCCCAATCTCGAAAGCATTCAATACAAGTCCAGAGATAGACTTCTACCTCCACATCGCATTCACGTGTACATATCTCGGTCAAAGCCATACACTTAATCAAATTTAAACCATTTAAACAATTAAAAACTTATGCAAATATCCCCAAATAAAATTTGGGGGCGTTGCAACTAAACAAAAAAAAAAATAAGAATGAACTAAAAATAAAATGTCAAATCTCGACATAATTTACGCCTGCGCCGTGGAGGAAAATATTTCCTGCGGGCGACATCGGTAAATGCCGGAACGCTGATTGGTCGCCTGATGGCAAAAGGCCGAGCAGATGTCGGTGCCGAGGCCGAAGCCGTGTCGGTTGCAGTAACAAGTATTCGCCGCATAGGCGCAGGATAAAGGATAAAGGATAAGGGCCGCCGAGAACCGAGGGATGCTGCTTCCGTGTGGCTTTCGTGCGCTTCGGTCCAGGACTTCGTTGCAGCCAAAACTTTGGTTCGTGCGGCGTGGCACTGTTGGCCAGGATCAGAAGGTTACCACGTGACAAAAGGTACAACGGTCTTGCAGTTCCAGTGCGGCTCTCACACCGTACAGACATGTTTGTCTGCCACAAAGTACCATCCATTCCAAGTTGTGCATTTTTTTGTGTGAATTCCATTGTGAAAGTATAAACCGGACACTTATCTATTTTTGATTGTTGCTCAGAAAGCCCTTATAATTAACCAGTTGGCTTTCGAGCAATTATCAAAGCCAAATAAGTGATCCCAACAACATTTTAGTGTGAAATACTTGACTCAAAGGTAAGTGAAAATAGTTTTCTTATTTATTTATTTAAGCACTTGTCCTTTCTGGGTTTCGGTTCATTTGTATGGTTTTTATACCCATAAACTCCCTTAGAATTAAATTGAAATCTCAAAATAAAAGTAAAGTCCCAGCTTCTGCGAACCGTTTCTCCCAATCTCATGCAATTTTGTGGGTTCATTGTGCCCCCAACAACTTCCTATTGGTGTAGCCCACCCGCATTAACGACATCCAAAGACTTCCCTCTTGCAATTAGTCATCCAAACAAACGTCGTTGAACTTTGGGCAAATACTCGTAGGCGAGAAAAACAACAAAAGTAAACTGCAAAAAAAAACAAACAATTGACGAACAAATGCTCTGCGCCACAAAAAGTACAAATCGAAACGACGCGACCTTCACATTGAATGCGCGCCCAAGTTTTGCCTGAAGCGGGTGTCAGTGCACCTGAAACTCGTTTCTGGTGGAGCCAGCCCCACTTTGGTTGGGGTTTGGTTTGTTATTATATTATATTTGAACGAGTATATTTGGTATCGCCTGTCGACAGCAGACAATGGCCAGTGCTATACGCTTATGTTTTATGGCCAATTTGTTTTATGAATTAGCATTTAGTGCGAAACTACAGAACTACTCGTAATCGTATTCGTATTCGTATTCGTATTCGTACTCGTACAAGCTGTAGCGATCATTGAACTTGGATGGGATGGGAAACTGAAACCGACTGAAATACGAGTATTTGGTTTGTATCTGGTTTGGTTTCGGGCTAAAGAACCAAAGTCAAGAGACCAATTAATATTCAAGCGTATTGGAGTGGTCTACTGAACTGATTTGAGATCTTCGATTATGAATTATTTATGGTCGGTCCACACGATTTGTCATTCTGTAGTACCTCAACTTTCAGTTTCAGTTTCGGTTTCAATTCCTGCTTCTAGTTTTCAATTCCTTATTGTCACTCCATAATTATTATACGAGTATGTATGTGTTTAGCTGAATGCTGCACTTCCACGTTCCACCGTCATATGTAAATGTATTTATAAATAGAGGTGTTTATGGATAGATGGCCTCCTCTCGTGTCGCCAATTGCATTGGGATTGCAAGCCACGTTTGCCTTAGTTTTAAGGGCAATGTTAATGCCAAAGCATTCGACATTACATTGATTGCACCGACATTGAATTTCAATTATTATTTGGTCTCATTATTATTCATATATGTACATATAGCGCAGACAACGGCGTCTTCATTTGCATACTACCGATGATTAGACCAAGTCCAATTGTTGATTGAAATATGACGTTAAAGGCTATTTACAATGTGGGAACTTAATTATGCCCAATGCTTGCAATGTCAAAGCTATTACGGATCCAGAATTTAAAGGTTTTTAGAGTACTCAATTGACAAGTTCCTCCATTGAGGCAATTTTCATATTTGTACTTATTGCAAGGTCTTGAATCACGTATGTCCTGAGCCCCGAATAGTTATACATAGATTTCAATCTTTATCCCATTATATTCGCCCCGAGAGTGGAATGAATATGAAGAGATTGGATCTAAGCATATTTCAAATTTAAGTTAAATGTTTTTATATTTAAATTAAATATATTTTCTACAATTTAAATATAATATTTCTACTTTATTAAATTAGATTAAATGTAAAAAAGACGTTTTAATACATTTATCTATTTAAATCAAAGCGAATACTTTTTAATTTTACTATGTTTGCATTTAATTTAAATAAGGGCGTGTTTCCTTTTACTAAAATTTATCTTATTAACAACGCATTTAGAATAAATTGCATAATTTATATGTTTTATGTAGAATATGTATTTGTTATATAGAAGAGTTGAAGTAATTTTATAAATCGTACCAATATAATGTCGAGAGAATTGGAAGAAGCTCTGACAATTAAAATGATTGATATCAAAATAGTTACATTGTTCACTTCCAGTACGGAATAGACCCAAACTTTGAATGGATTGGTTTAGAAATATAATGCCAATAATTCTCAAAAATAATAAATATATTAGCCCGCGTATAACCAGCTATTTGCTCTCCTTCTCTGAGTAATGCACGTTCCCAGAAAAATAAATCATTCCCCAATCGTCTCAATATCACTATTAGTACGTGTTGTTAATTACGTAAATATAGTACGAAAATAAGGATAATGGGGCAATAAACTTTGATGCAACAATTCAGCATAAATACTATATTGTCGCACCCATTGTTGTACGCCCCATTCAATGTCATGAACTTCATTGGGTCGTAAAACGCAAAACATACAAAACATTGTTTTCAGCTTTTGTTGACGTTTCGGTATCGGCTTCGGTTTCGGTTTCGGTTTCGCTTTCGTTCTTTTTTTTTGTTGTTTTTTTGGCAGCCAGCTCCTTAATTGAAATGCCAAAACGTGTGCACATGACACCCACGCACCCAGTGCACCGGCCGCCAGAAGAAAAAGCTCAAAGCTTGAGGCAACAGGTGCTCCACAGACTTCCGTTTGTTATCACAACGAGAGAGACAGACAGAGACAGGCAGAGGGAGAGCGAGCGAGGCAAAGCTCTCCAGCTAATCCGCATAGAACAGCGGCAGAAAAACAATCAAGTCGGTGGAACAGAGACGACGCCTAGACACCACCTATATATAAATTAATTGGCGCACAGAATTTCAGTGACAGTTCCGTTGAATAGTTTCGTTCCGCAACAGCAGCCGCTTTAACGGGGTTTTCGGTTTTCGGTCCTTAGAACAGAACTCTAGTTTTCATATCAAGAAAATGTTTCCAATCTTATCCATATGCGTTTTGGTGTTGACTCTGGGCTGTGGACAGGCGCAAATTGCTTGTGAGTTAATCAAAGTCAAAATGCAAATTCAGTGATCAAAATCAATGCATATGCACAGACACTATTTTACACTATAATAAATAAAAACATCCTCATCCTCATAGTCACCAGCCAGCCCTGTACAGTGCGAAATCCAAAGATTGTTGGCGGCAGTGAAGCGGAACGCAACGAAATGCCGTTTATAGTCAGTCTGATGCGTCGGGGTGGTCACTTTTGTGGCGGAACAATCATATCCGAGCGGTGGATCCTCACGGCCGGGCACTGCATCTGCAATGGATTGCAAAAGTTCATGAAGCCGGCACAAATTCAGGGAGTTGTGGGTCTGCACAGCATCAGGGAGTATCTTAATGGCATCGGCAATGGCCCGGATGCACTGAGGGTGGACTTCAAAAACATTGTGCCGCACCCGCAATACGATTGCAACAATGTTCAGCATGATATTGGTAGATATTCATATCCATATATCCGTAGTTACCTTCTGAAACAGTTGTATGGCATGGCGTTCTTTCCATCTAGCCCTGCTAGAACTTGTGCGACCCATCAGCTTTACCGCTCACGTGCAACCGAGCTGTGTGGGCACGGACAAGGGGCAGCGCAGCTTGGAGGAGGAGTACGGCACCGTCTCCGGCTGGGGTTGGACGCATGAAGACCAGGCGGAGGGCGATCGGGCGGATGTCCTGCGCAAGGCAACTGTCAAAATATGGAATAACGAGGCTTGTGAGCGCTCCTATCGCGCCCTCGGCAAGAGCAACACCATTGGGGAAACACAGCTTTGCGCCGGCTACGAGAACGGTCAAATTGATTCGTGTTGGGTGAGTATGATCCTGGCTGATAGAGCACAAATGTTATGGATTTTTTCCCCACTTTTACTATCGCAGGCTGATTCCGGCGGCCCTTTGATGTCCAAGGAGCACCACTTGGTCGGTGTGGTATCAACGGGCATCGGCTGTGCACGTCCTGGCCTCCCAGGCATCTACACGCGCGTCAGCAAATATGTGCCATGGATGCAGAATGTGATAGCAGGCAGGAAATAACACCTTGCGCGAAGAGTAATACAATGCTGTGATTCAAGTGTGATATTAGTTTTACAATGTGATATGATTTTGTTAATAAATTAAACCATTACAAAAATGATTATTATTCCCACATAATGCTACAGAATAGTGGAGGCCTTAAGGTCATCCGGGCTATTACGTATTACAGTCGAATTTCTCTATTACGAACTCCCGTACAACGATGTTTTCTATATAGTGAATTTATTACAGGAAGACTGCACCTTATAACACCTTATAACGAATTTCCATATAGCGAATATTTCTTTGCTACGATTTTTTTTCTATGCCCCTAACTCGAATCTCTCTTTCGATCTCCTTACAACGAATTTTATTTTCGTATAATTTTTATTGTGGTTTCCTAACAAAACAATAGTAAAAATGTGTTTGGGGAACTCGCGAACTATAAATGAGACGGTAAAATTCGATGAACATAATGTCACAACTAGTTATGCTTGCATTAGCTCTCAGTTTGTTGTTGATGTACAGGTAGAGGTGATAGCAAGCGAAATGTCGAAGCGTAGGAGAGAGAACGCAAAAGAGTTCGCTGTATGATTGGGAAACTTTGGGAGTTTGAGGCAAGTGTAGAATGGTTGGATAAACTAAAAAAAAAATAGTTACTGTCCTTAAAAGCCTTAAACATTTTGTTGAGACGGAAATTACAAAAACAATTTCTTTTTACGAATTCTACATAACGAATTTTGGTTTGTCCCCTTGAGATTTGCTATATGGAAGTTCGACTGTATGATACCCAGTACTCAAAGAGCTTGGGATATACATATGTATGTATTAGTTTTGGAAGTGGATTTGTATAGCACCCAGAAGGAAGCGTTTCCAAGCATATATATTTTTCAGCAGCATCAATGGCCGAGTCGATAAAGCCATGCCTGTTTGCCCCTCCGTCTTTTTGTCCGTCCGTCTCTATTGATAATCGCCTATATCTCAGAGACTATTAGTGCTAGAGAAGGGAAATTTTATATCAAGACTTCTGTGATATCACACTGTTACAAGTTTGTTTAAAAATTTCGGCCTTCCACCTTCACAAAGAACGGAAATCTGGTGCATTCGCAATTTTAAAGGTAAGAAAAACCAAAAACGTTGAGTCATTGAATATGACATAATCTGGCAGATAGCTGAAACTAAATTAGTTCGGTGCATTATTATAGGCACAAGAAACCAATGAAATTGCAGTGGCACTACCCCTCCATCTCTCTCACACACTCTTCGTCATATTGTGTCCGTGTCCTGGCAGAGGGGAGCGAGATAGCAACACAGCTGGTGTTGGGGTGAGAAGTGAAAGAGAAAGAGACAGATGTAGCGGAATAAAAAGCTGTGGAGGAACAATGAACGCTTATAAAAAATTCTAAAATTCTAATAAAATAATTCATTAGGTGGAAAGAGGATAATTGGAGCTACATGCCAGAAGTTCTTAGGATTGGTCAGGGCGCTAATTGCGACGAGAGGCTAATATCAGTTTCTTTAAGAAACTGTCTTTAGTTGGAGAGAATAATATAAAATTCTATCTAGTCTAGGACTTTGAAAGAAATTTGGATTTGTAACAGATTTTATCAGCGAAGAATTTGGACTTCCGTTGTAGATTAGGACCGTTAGGCGCGATAAATACATATACATGTTCTACATGTAGAAAGTTTCAAAGATTTTGATTGCTCGAAAAGAAAAAGCTTGCAGGAACCTCTAGTCTATGGAAAAATAGGAACAACAGACAAAAACAAGCAAGGGAAACTAAAATCTTCATGATATGTTTAGGCAAAAGAGGATTGATGAACAAAATATGTAGCAAATGTGTAGTTACCGTGTAGTTACCATGTACACATGGACATCGTTGACCTTTTTTGGTTTCAAAATAAGCCTTACACAATCCAGTAAAAGGGCGTTCTTAAAATTAACATATGTTATAGCCGGAGAGGAGGGATCTACAAGAAGAATTTATAATCGTTAATATTTTCAGCCATTTACCTGAAGTAGTTGAACTATTGAAATAGAGGGGGCTGAAGTGGGCTAAGTTCAATTTATAATCATAGCCAGACATATAGCGTCTCGTGTTGTTGAGGAGCAAAAACAGCAATCGCCGTAGCAGGAAAATAAGTCAAGTATTTAAAACAAGCAAGTCAAGTCGAAAATTGATTCCTTAATCGGATACAATTATGTGGGCATGGCTAAATGTTCTATCTATCTAATAATATTTGACGGAATATCAAAATCGAGGAATATGTTTAATAAAACTTGAACTCGTCAGTATATTTACGGCATATTTTTAAAATGATATAGTCTATTTTGGTATATTTCTGAGGGTCAGACCGTATATTCTATTGCTAAATCCGTGGTCACACTGAAATGGGGGATGGGGACGATTTAACCAGGTAAATAAATAAATAATCAAATTTCGTTAATACAAGTACTTTAAACTCGACTTCTATATTTAATCCAGTCAGGCTATTGCTGAGCTCATTCGAGAGATCGAGGGAGGAGATGCTAGGTCTTGCAGTGGAGTGCAGGAGCGCAAGGTAAATCCTCTGGGCAAGCCAAACAAACGATTCCTTGGACGCACCATTAACACTGCTCTGCGCCATAACCAACGGGAAAGTGAGCGGACGCAGGCCGAATGCCAGCGAAAGTTGAAGGATTTGGATAAAAGATATGAGAAAAGGAAGTCCAATTACTATTACAACAGAGATGCGGGCAGATATCGGAGTAGGAGTTCAAGCCGGAGTCGAAGTCGAAGCCGTTCCAGGAAGGTGGAAAAGCGACGTAGCAGTAGCAGGAGAAGAAGGAGCAGCAGCAGTCGAAGTCCCAGTTACAGTCGAAGTCGTAAAAGCTCGCACAAGAAGAGAAAACATCAAAGTAAACATAAACGGAAGAAGAAAACCAAGCACAAGCGAAGAGCCCGCAGCAGCAGCAGCAGGAGCAGTAGTCCAGAGGAGAAACCAGTACCCACCGTAACAGAACTGTCATCATCAGAATTGTTTTTCTACCAATCCAGGCAAGTGGCCCTAGCCATGGCGATGTCATATGGCCAAGGAGCAAACGGCCCACAAGAGAACGGACGAAAAATCAAGGAACGAGCGTCTTCTTCACTCAGTGATATAGCCAGAGAGCTGATGTCTGATGATGAGCAGGGCAATGTAGACTCCAGACTAATGAACTCCCTATCTATATCATCAAACGAGAATGGGCAGGAGCTGCTAACCATCGATGTTAGCTCGAGTTCGGGAAAAGAGGAAGAGTCATCGGCGGAGAGCAGAGGTACAGAAATTTCGAATGCGGAAAATGGCGCTGGCTGCTTCATAGCTCTGGATGATAGTACAACCGAATCGGAGTCCGGCCACAACAGTGATATAGAAATAATCGAAGAATGCCAAGTAGAGCAAAACCAGGAACCTGAACGAAGGCAGCAACAAGTAGACGACTCACGTTCTGCCATCGACTCCGTGGACCTGACCGAAGATTAGTTTGTTAATGTATAAGTCTAATGTTTAACTAAAAGAGGTGAGTTACTACCTATGAGAGAAACACAATCGCCTTTCCATCTTATTAAAGACTTTTTACTTGGAAGATTCTATGCAGAAAATATATGTAGATCTGAATAGATAGTTGATTTTAGGACAAACATTTTGTATTTTCGAATTATTTAAAGAAGATTAAAATTAACATATGTATGTATGTTTTTCTATTGAAATAAACTTTTTGGGTTTGATTGAACGATTGCCATAAGGGGAGTGCCGTATATGTTGGTAGGGTATGACTTTTGTTTGCCCACTCAATCAGCTGTTTTTTTATTTACATTTTCGGTCAGTACAGCGCGGATGTGAATTAAAAACTTGTTCATTTAAATAAAAAAAAAATATATATTAAATGCTTCAGCCATGTTTGGAAGCCTGAAGAAAAAGCTGAGCAGCGCCATACAGGAGGGCATTGTGATCTCGGAGAGTCTGCAGCAGCAATATCGCCAACGTGTCAGTTCTGGCAATGGCAGCGGCCAGTCGAGCGCCGCCACAACACCCACTTCGCCCCTGGGTCTTAACGAGAGTCTGTCCTCGAGTCGGAGTAGCTCGTTGTACCTAGGTGCGCCCTTCCACTTGACGGACGGTGTGCCACCGCATTTAAATGTGGCGGCCGGCTGCAGTCTTTTGGCCAAGTATGAAGACGACTGGCAACAAATTCATGTGGCCAATGAGGAGAATGCCGAGCGAGCGGCCGCCGTGGCCACACAGATTACTGCCGTGCAAGAGAGGGCGAGTGGGCAGCGGAAGACCATCAGCGATCTCAGCGGCAGCCTGGCTGGGATACCCACGCTGATAACAAAGCTGCAGGCGAGTATCGAAACTCTTCACGCATTGGAGGATATGGGAAAGCAGCTCGAAATCGAGTTGGAGAAACTCGAGGATCTTTGCGAGGAGTGCGAGCTGCAAGAATTCATGCTGGAGAAGCAGTTCGAACTGTCGCGACACAAGCAAAAGAAGCTCAATGAACTGGAGAAGTACAGGCACCACATTGCTTCCCAACATCAGGCGAAGATCCAAGATCATGAGCAGCAACTGAGAAAGCTTCAACGCGAGCGCCAGGCGGTCTTTGACGATGCATTTCGCGGTGACATGGAGGAGTATAAGCAGCACGGCCAGCTGACAAGTATGTGAAGAACAGAACAGCCCACTAGAAATATTTGGTTTAAGTCCTTGTCTTTGCAGAAATCCAAGCCGCTCAGGCTACGAGCAACAAGTTGGCCCTGGAGGAAGTTGTTTTAGAAGCCAACGAAGTGGAGACCAAGGATGCCTTGGAGCAGTTTCTCAACGGATGAGATGTTTGATTCACCTAGAGCAATCCCATTTGTGCCTTTACATGTGCAATATGCAGTTAATTTCGTTTTTTTACAAACATATTTTAAAATGCCCAGTATTTGGGCTGATATGGCAGCGCCGGATATCTCACAGATATTTTGAGAGCAGGCGATTTACTTCAAAACTGTTCTTAAATTTAATATAGCAAACATTATTTTACTTGTTATTAGTATACATAATTGGTATTTTCTAGAAATATTAAATTTATTTAAACCAAATTAGAGATGCTGTCGATTATTGTCAGATGGTGGGTCAGCGGTCTGGCAACTCCAGTCCGAACACGAACAACAACAATTGTTAACCTTACCAAAGGCATCATAATATAAATTTCCACGCAGTTTGCCGATTGCTCATCAACGCTTATCAAATCAACGATCTTCGCCGCAATCGCTTTCGACGCAGCCCGTGAAATTTCCGTTCCCCCTCCTGGATTTTGATCATATGGGCTCTATTGGTTCATCGCTGCGGTCACAAACCATCGACATGTCTTCGAAGTCTGCAAAGTTTGTTGAGAACACCATTGCCAGCCATAAGGTGGTGATATTTAGCAAAACCTTCTGTCCCTACTGCAAAATGGCAAAGGAGGTGAGATAAGCGGAAATATCGTTAACAGTCGCATTACGCCACAACTTTCTGTCTTTGCAGCCATTCCAGAAGCTCAATGTGCAGGCCACAGTCATTGAGCTGGACGGCAATCCAGACGGCGACGAGATCCAGACCGTGCTGGGCACGATTACAGGTGCCAGGACGGTATGTTCGTTTTGATAATAAAAGTTTTATTTGTATCTATCTCTTTTGGTAAATTTTCAGGTGCCTCGAGTCTTTATTGATGGAAAATTCGTTGGTGGCGGCACGGACATTAAACGAATGTACGATACGGGAGATCTCCAAAAATACTTTGCCTAATCGGTGGTGCAACACTATACACGTGGATATCTGGTGTTAAGCTCGCTTTCATGTACAAAAGTTATCATCATGATTAAAGTCTCTATAGATGATTTCAGCTAATATTAATCCATGAGTCATTGCTGCTATTCATGGAGGGGACAATTTTTCAGTCTGCTATATGGAGGAAATGGTGCCACCGGAGCACCAAGGAACTAACTAGTCCAATGAAATATGTATTTCTAGCACGTTATAGTTTGAGGGAAAATTGTTCATTCATGAGACGACATGTATAAAATGTATAAAGATTGACTGCCACATGCTCTATCTCTCTCTTTCTCCCTGTCTTTTGGTATCGATGTTCGTAAACGGGATAAATTGATTTGTTTGTTAATGCGGGTAGGGGGTTTCCGCTATCTCTTAACCAAATAATTATTTTATTCGAATATTCGATCGGTTTCCATTTTTTCTGTCTCCCTCTTTCACTTCTCACACCAACACCAGCTGTGCTGCTATCTCACTCTCCTCTGCCAGGGGACGCACACAGAACGACGAAGGGAAGAGGGGAATGAGTAAGGACGTAGAAGGAGGCGGCAGTGTATTTGGAAACGCTTCCTTATCGGAAGGATTCCTTTTGCACCAGAAAACTAAATAAATATGGAATTTGTATGGTATAATTTTCTGAATTCAAGATTTGGAAAATACTAGAAAATACTGCCATAGCAGTGGGTCAGCTGTTCCCGAACCGTTCGTTAATTAGCTAAAACTGAAATGGCTGATCTGGTGAGAGGAGAAGCCTCTGAATCCGATGAGGAGCTGCAGGACCAGCACAAGGTAAATATTTGGTCAGAAAGGGAGGATAGCTACTCTACTTATAAATCGCTTGCGGTGGTAGATTTTTGCAGCAGAGGTTCCAGGGGAGGCAACCGAGGAGGATGACGACGATGAAGACATCTACGAGCAGAGGCGGAGCACCCATGTGTCGTCCAGCACAGCCTCGATCTATCGCAACAATCTGCTGCAGCGCAAACTAAGTAAGTAATTCACAAGATATTTTCCTTTAGAGTCCAATAAAAGTTCAATCTTTCAGTTGAAAACAACATTGCCATTTGGAGAGCTCTGACAGCGCTGACACGCAATCTTGTGGTGAACGCCTCCAAGCAGTTGCTGACCACTGACCAAATGCTCATTAAGTCACAGTTGTCCATGCAGTCGGCCCACACGTCCCTGCAGCAGGCCCAGCGCCATGTCAGTGAGTTGCAGTCCCGGACGGCGGCCGTGATGGCTGGCGGCAGTTTCCTGCCGCATATAAATATAAGGAATGCGTGAGAATTGACTACAAACACACAAATTTATTAATAAACGAACAAATATAGGCTAATCCTCTGTATCGGAGTTGGGAGCATACGCCTGACTGTTCGGCGACGGCTCGCGTGGAACGTATGTGCTCTGGAAACATCGTGAGAAGATGGTGCGCATCCTGGTCACGCGTTCGGGGGACTGCGGTATGCTCTCATCATCATCCTGATGGTCGTCAGCAGGAAACGTGGGAGACTGCGTGGGTGGCACATCGTCTGTATTGTAGAAGCAAACTTCTGTACTGTTCGGCGGTGCGGGGGCGACTGCTGACTCGGGCACAGTTGTCGGAAGAACCGACTGGCTGGCCTCCAGGGCAGCGTCGGCTGCTGCCAGCATCAGTGCCTCTTCCTCTGCCTCATCTTCGATCAGAATCACAGTGTCCACCTCCGCTAATAATCGAGCCTGCTGCACAGACGGCGCTTCCGAGGGTCGAAACTGAAAGAGCGGGGTTCCCATACTTGAATCTATATCCACCAGGCCATCCTGCTGTAGTCGCTTTTGCTGCACACTTGGACCCGGGGTACTGCTCTTGCGTTTAGAAGATGCAGCTGGCACATCTTCATCTTCGACGGTCAGGTCTCGCTGGCAGTAATCGTCCGAGAAGCTTACATCATCCGGAGACAATGTGGACATTATCAAGAGACACTCGATCTCGCCATGTTTCTTGATTTTTAGCATGAAGGGACTGCCCGCATCGTCGAATTCCAGCGACAGCGAAGCATTCAAGCACTCGGCAAAGAGCAGGAAAGCCCGAAACTCCTTGATGCAAAACGTAATGATTGTCTCCTTAGTCACCTGATACTGGTCGAATTCGCTGGGCTTCAGTTTTAGTTGCGTTCGCATAAATTTATCATTCACCCGAGCGCCTTCGATGTAGTTCTTGGCCACCAGACTGCCTGTGTTTGCCTCCATTGTTAGTTCCTCTTCCGCGGAATTGAAATTGTTGGAGATGTCCATGAAAAGCTTGTGGTCGCCCCGTATTCTAAGAGCGGGTATGGTATCAATTATTGAACGTTGAATATGTTGAAGCATGAACATACATATTTGGTCTCTGGTCCGTGTCGACGTTCGTGTTGATGTTCTGATCATCGATAATGGAAATGGTGGCCTCTTTGGTGGTCTCTAGCTTGCAGCGCAGATTCACCTGGAGATTTGTCTGATTGTCGATAAGGTTTAGCTCGCAGTACTCTACCTGAAATGGGCATTTCGATTTAATAAAAGACTTGGCACAAACATTAAGTCTCGTACTGCACCTCGTTCATATTGCGAAATACGGCCAGACAGCCCTTCATGGATATTTTACAATAAAAGTCCGAGCTTGGAGGCATGTCGAACACCTCAAACATGGACCTTTTAAAGAAAATGCTGCCCACCGCCGACTGTGTGGCGTTTATGGCCCTCATTTGTAGTCCTTGCTGCTCGATCTCGATGAACATTTCCTTGCCCACTTTGGAAAGGGACTGCACGGCCTTTGCAATAACTATGAATGATAGGATTGAGTACAAGCAGTGCTTATTTCCCTACAATGTCTTACCGCGCGCATTGCTGCCTTCTAAAGTGTATTTCATTTGCAATCAAAAAAAAAGAAAAAACTGTCCTGGCGGCGGCACAAAGTTCGCGCTGAAATTTGTAAACAAACAGAAAGGTGTGGCCAAAGCAGAGAAAGTCTACGAATTATACCGCAAAATACCAGGGACGTCGGGCCTGTTAGACGTGCAGCCACATTGTAATGCAGCCGGTCAAACGCCACATCAGTTCTAAATTTAATTAAGAAAACCAGCAAAAATCCAATTTAAAATTGTTGAAAAAGTAAATAGACACAAGTGGAAAAGCATAAAGCACGCCCCTGTTTGCCCAGCCGCTATGCACTTGGCAATAAACATATAACAAACACGCAAGCAAACAATGTTACGTCTCTTGTGTGTGTTTGTGCTGCTGCAGTCAGCGGCACCGATCTTGGCCAACGCAGAATCCAGCCAGAGCTATCCCATAACCACACTCATCAATGCCAAATGGACGCAGACGCCATTGTATCTGGAAATTGCCGAGTATTTAGCTGACGAGCAGGCTGGCCTTTTCTGGGACTACGTCCGAGGGGTGACCAAGCTGGACACGGCTCTGAACGAATATGGTTTGTACTAGATCTCGATGGTTGAGCTACCGTGTACTGATTGCTTGATTGATTATTATTCTCGTCTAGATACGGAGTCGCAGATGTACAATGCCGCCTTAGAACTGGTCAAGACTCATGTAAGTTCACCGGTGCTGCCTTTGCTCAAGCTGGTGGTGTCCATGCACAGCTTGACGCCCCGCATCCAGACACATTTTCAGCTGTCAGACGAACTGCGCAGCGGTGGCGCCTGCCAAGGCTCTACTTTCGCCCAAGTCGGCACTGAGTTGGCCTGCAGCTACGCGGAGTTGGAGAAGAAACTGGGGCTGGCGCGAGCCAAAGACAGCTTGGATTCGCCTGTGGATACCTACAGCTTCGATCACATCTATCCGGGCAGTGAGAATAACACCCGCACGGTTGTCTTGTATGCTGACTTGGGTAGCGCTCAGTTTCGCTCGTATCACAAGCTCCTGGAGCAGGAGGCCAATAATGGCAAGATTCGTTACATCCTGCGCCATCATTTGGCCAAGAAGGAGAAGCAGCCGGTACGCCTCTCTGGCTATGGCGTGGAGCTGCACTTGAAGAGCACCGAGTACAAGAGTCAAGACGATGCTCCCAAGCCCGAAGCAGGCTCTACTTTGGATGAGGACCTGGACAATGAATCGGATGTGCACGGCTTTGACTTTAAGGTGCTAAAGAACAAGCATCCCACTCTCAAGCGAGCCCTGGACCAGCTGCGCCAACGACTTCTGCAGGGCAACGATGAGATCGCTCAGCTGAAGGCCTGGGAATTCCAGGATCTGGGCCTGCAGGCCACTGCTGCCATTGCAGAGATCCAGGGGGATGAGACCCTGCAGATTCTACAATACACTGCCCACAATTTCCCGATGCTGGCCAGGACACTGCTGGCCCACAAGGTGACGGAAACTCTGCGGGCAGAGGTCAAGCACAACACGGATACATTCGGGCGCAGCTTGAACGTGGCCCCCCCAGATGGAGCGCTGTTCATCAATGGCTTGTTCTTCGATGCGGACACCATGGATCTGTACTCCATGGTGGAGACCCTGCGCTCGGAGATGCGGGTGCTGGAGAGTCTGCACAGCAACAATGTGAGGGGAGGCCTGGCCAGCTCTCTGCTGGCCCTGGATCTGACGGCCTCCAGCAAGAAGGAGTTTGCCATTGACATCAGGGACACGGCAGTGCAGTGGATCAATGATATCGAAACCGATGCTCAGTACAGACGTTGGCCGTCGTCGGTAATGGATCTGCTGCGGCCCACCTTCCCCGGCATGCTGAGGAACATCAGGAAGAATGTGTTCAACTTGGTCCTGGTGGTGGATGCCCTCCAGCTGACGGCCAGGAGTGTAATCAAGCTTTCCGAATCCTTTGTCATTCACCAGGCTCCCATTCGTCTCGGTTTGGTGTTCGATGCCAGGGAGGCCGGCAAGGACAATTCCGAGGATTACATAGCCATCACGTGTGCCTTCAACTATGTGAGCCAGAAGAAGGATGCCCGAGCAGCCCTGAGTTTCCTCACTGACATCTACGCGGCGGTGGGCGAAACGAAGGTGGTCAAGAAGGAGCACATCGTGAAGCAGCTGACAAAGGAGTTCAGCACCCTCACCCATGCGAAGGCCGAGGAGTTCATTGAGGAGGACTCCACCTACGATTATGGCCGCGAGCTGGCGACAGAGTTTGTCCAACGCCTGGGCTTCTCCGACAAGGGACAGCCGCAGGCCCTGCTCAACGGGGTGCCCATGCCCAGCAATATTGTCACGGCGGATAGTGAATTCGAGGAGGCTATCTTCACCGAGATCATGACGCACACGAGCACTCTACAGAAGGCCGTCTACAAGGGCGAGATGACGGATAATGACGTGGCCATCGACTACCTTATGAACCAGCCCCATGTCATGCCCAGACTCAATCAGCGCATTCTCAGCCAGGAGGATGTCAAGTACCTGGACATTAATGGCGTGGCCTACAAGCAGCTGGGCAATGTGGCCGCCCTGAACAGGCTCTCCAACCGGGACATGACGGCCACGGTGATGGAGAACCTCAAGTTCTTTGGCGGCAAGAAGTCCACGGAGCGGATTGGCCGAGCCTCTCTGCAGTTCCTTACCATTTGGGTGTTTGCGGACCTGGACACGCAGGAGGGACGCAGTTTGCTCACCCATGCCCTGGAATACGTCCAGGGGGGAGAGAGCGTTCGCCTGGCATTCATACCCAACACTGAAAACGTTCCGGCAGGGGATTCCAAGAACCTAAATCGTTTGGCTTGGGCCGCCATGCAGACTCTGCCATCAGCTCAGGCCACAGAGCAGGTACTCAAGTGGCTGAAGAAGCCCAAGGAGAAGATTGAAGTACCGTCCAAGGTGCAGGACATACTGGGCTCCACGGAGCTGCATCTGAAGATGCTGCGAGTGTATGCTCAGCGTGTGTTGGGTCTGAACAAGTCCCAGCGATTGGTCATTGGCAACGGGCGATTGTATGGTCCGCTTTCCGCTGACGAGAGCTTCGATAGTGCGGACTTTGCCCTGTTGGCCCGGTTCAGCTCCCTGCAATACGGCGATAAGGTGCGTCAAGTACTTAAGGAATCTGCCCAAGATGTCGGTGCGGATTTCACCAGCGATACCCTGCTCAAGCTCTACGCCAGCCTCCTGCCCAGACAGACGAAGAATCGCTTCAAGATGCCCACCGATCTGAAGACTGATCATTCGGTGGTGCTGCTGCCCCCCAAACAGGAAAAGTTACCACATTTTGATGTTGTCGCTGTATTGGACCCTGCCTCGAGAGGTGCACAGAAGATGGCGCCCATGCTGATCCTGTTGCGGCAGGTGCTCAACTGCCAGTTGAGTCTCTACATGATCCCAGTGCCCCAGCACAGTGATATGCCAGTGAAGAACTTCTACCGATACGTTGTGGAGCCGGAGATCCAGTTTGAAGCAAACGGAGTCAGGTCGGACGGTCCTCTGGCCAAGTTCAGCGGCCTGCCGGCCAATCCTCTGCTAACCCAGCAGATCCAGGTTCCCGAAAACTGGCTGGTGGAGGCTGTGCGAGCTGTCTACGATTTGGATAACATCAAACTGTCGGAGATCGGAGGACCCGTCCACAGCGAATTCGATCTGGAGTACCTGCTGCTGGAGGGTCACTGCTTCGATGCCTCCAGCGGAACGCCGCCGAGAGGCCTCCAACTGGTGTTGGGTACCAAGAGCGAGACCACCCTGGTGGACACCATAGTGATGGCCAATCTGGGCTATTTCCAGCTGAAGGCCAATCCCGGAGCCTGGTCCCTGAGGCTACGCGACGGAAAATCAACGGACATTTATGGAATAAGTCATATCGATGGCGACAATACCCACTACGATGCAGGTTCCTCGGTAGTCCAGGTGCTAATCACCTCTCTGCGGTCGCATGTCATCAAGCTGCGAGTCTCAAAGAAGCCGGGAATGCAGCAGGCCGAGCTGCTCGCCGATGACACCGACCAGGCGGCACAGTCGGGCATTTGGAACAGTATTGCCAGCAGCTTCGGTGGCAGCAACGGGAACCAGGCAGCGAACGATGAGGATACCGAGACCATCAATATATTCTCGGTAGCCTCGGGACACCTGTACGAACGCCTGCTCAGGATTATGATGATCTCCCTGCTCAAGCATACGAAATCTCCGGTGAAGTTTTGGTTCCTGAAGAACTATCTGTCGCCACAGTTCACCGATTTCCTGCCCCACATGGCTGCCGAATACAATTTCCAGTACGAGCTGGTCCAGTACAAATGGCCGCGCTGGCTGCACCAGCAAACGGAGAAGCAGCGCACCATTTGGGGCTACAAGATCCTCTTTCTGGATGTCTTGTTCCCCCTCAATGTGAGGAAGATCATTTTCGTGGATGCCGATGCCATTGTCAGGACGGACATCAAGGAGCTGTACGACCTGGATCTGGGCGGAGCTCCCTATGCCTACACCCCGTTCTGCGACTCGCGCAAGGAAATGGAGGGTTTCCGCTTCTGGAAGCAGGGCTACTGGCGCAGCCATCTGATGGGCAGGCGCTATCACATTTCCGCCTTGTACGTGGTGGACCTGAAGCGGTTCCGCAAGATTGCGGCTGGCGACAGGTTGCGTGGCCAGTACCAGGCCCTCAGCCAGGACCCGAACAGTTTGTCCAATCTGGATCAGGACTTGCCCAACAATATGATACATCAAGTGGCCATTAAGTCGCTGCCCGATGACTGGCTGTGGTGTCAGACCTGGTGCAGCGACAGCAAGTTCAGTAGTGCCAAAGTCATCGACCTCTGCAACAATCCGCAGACCAAGGAGGCGAAGCTGACTGCAGCCCAACGGATTGTGCCCGAGTGGAAGGACTACGATGCGGAACTGAAGACACTACTGGCCCGCATCGAGGATCATGAGAACTCACATAGCAGGGACATAGACGACGATCCGGTCGATGATCATGTGGTGGTCACCACCCTGCCGCCACCGCCAGAGCC